GTTGTTTTCCTTAGAGAGTGACTGCAGTCATTCTGTAATGGTAGCTTTGAGGAACCGTGCCAGAAATTGCATGGCCTGTAAAGTCTAAAATATGTGCTGTGTTTGGTTTTATAAAGAAAAAAATGTAGTGCATTTCATTTCTTTCTTTTTTTAACCACAAACAGGTATTAAATTACCCTAAACGTGGTGGCTTAAAACACAGAAATGTACTCACACAGAAGTCCAAAATCCAAGTATGGTCCAGGTCATGCTTCTCCGCAGTCTCTAGAACCCGTCTGGGTTTGGTGGTGGAACTTCAGTCTCTGCCTGTGTTTTCCCATGGCCTTTTTCCCTGTCTGTATGTGTGTTTCTATCTCTGTCTCTTATAAGGAAGGATACTCCTCATTGGATTCGGAGCCTACGCTAATCCAGGATGATTTCCACTGGAGGGCCTAACCTTCATTACATCTGCAAAGACCTTTATCCCAAATCAGGTCACTTTCTCAGGTTCTGGGTAGATGTATTTTGGGGGAGCAGGGAGGGCTAAGAGGAACACAATTAATTTAACCAACTGCAGATGGCAATTAGGAATGGGCTTTGCTTTCCTTTGGAAGCCTTTGAAGGATGCTCTCTGCAGGAGACTTGTACCCGATAGAAGATAGTAAGCCTACTTTTCAGGGACAAGGGCGATAAAGGCCTAGTTTAAACCACAGATGGTAACCACAAGCATAATTAGCAAGTAGAGGCAGTATTAAAGTATTCACCAGAGAACAGATCTTAGCACTCCTTACAGTAAGGTGATGTGCAGCGGCGTGCAAAGCTTCACGTTTCCCTGTCTTCAACTCCCACCTCCCAGAAAGAACAAGCGAATTTGACCTTTCAGCGAAAGATACTCAAAAAGTCATTAAGTTGATTCTGACTCAGAACGAACTTAGAGGACAGAGTTGAACTGCTCCTATCCCTTTCTGAAGCTTGCGTTTTGAGGGATGAGACTTAGGGCTAGATTATGGCAATGTGAAAATCTATGTGATTCAAAAAGAGGTGGATTTAATAAAAAGGATAGTGGAAAGCTAGGTTAGGCATCAGGCTGCTTACTGCAAGGTCAGAGACTCAAACCCAGCAACTGCTCCATGGGAGAAAGATGAGGCTGCCTGCTCCTGTAAAAATATGCAGTCTTGGGAAACCCTGTGATCGCTTCTAGTCTGCACTATATATAAGGTTGCTGTTGCTCGCTGGCAGTAGGTTTGGCTTTGAGTGGCGATGTGTAATGGACCAGTACATGAGTCAGCAAGCTTGGGAATTGACTCGAGTTGCAGAGCCCTTGAGTAGGCATTCTGCGCATATGAAAGTGCTGGGCCAGGCAAGAGAAGTGACATGCTCGTGCTGCCCTCATATCATATGGGCTTCATAAGACATAGCTCCTGATCTTAGCTAGGAGCCATGTATGCATCTCCTAGGCCTCATGTGACATCGTTTGGGCACCTTAGTGTTTAAAAAGTAATACATGCACTGGGTGAAAAACCAAATGGGGCTTGGATAAGAAACAGCCATTTCCAACTCCTCTCCCAGTCTCACTCCTTTGAAGCAAATGCTCGTGACCAGGTGATTATCTCTCTGGTGTCATGAATCAGGGCTTTGGCTTGAAGGTGCAGAGGCGAGGGTGCAACTATGAGTCCAGGGCCATTCAAACTTCGAATGAGGAGGGTTGTCTTTCACAGCTCTACCCTCTGTGCTAGTCTCCCTTCACTTCCTCAGAGTGGGACCGAAAACCTTTTGGAGAAAACCCTGCCGGCTTTTTGCCTGGGAATCAACGGTGCCAGCATTTCCTTGTGGAGGCCGGGGAGCTGAGGGATACAGACACTTGCTCTTTCGGTAGACTTTTCATTAATTTTAGTTTTTAACCTGTGCTTCACTCTGTACCTGCTGACTCTGGATCTGCAAGCTCATGTTTCAGCTGTGATGACATCTATGTCATGTAAAAATTTCTTGAACATGGAAGCTATAGTACTCAGAATGCTGCCTCGAACTAGAAGCATTACATAACGGCAAACATTTCCCGTGAATTGCACGTTCCGTAGAACATAGGACATAGGTAGACACAGAACTGTGCTGGCCTGAGTTAATGAGAGTATGGTCCCAAGCCTGGAAATTAAGTTGCTTTTACCCGTAGTTATGACAAACTCCAATGAGAACTGTCCCCTTGCTGTTGGGAGTCATAACAGGTAGGAAGTAAGGATGCTCAACTATTAATGACGTACTGCAATTGAGCTGCACATTCCACCTGACACCATTACAACTCTGACTTCATTGGTACACCACTGACAGTTAGTTGTAGACCAGGCATATAGTATGATCTTATTTAGTGTTTCATATCATAAGCATCAGTTGTTAATTTGAAATGAAATATTTGACTTCTGTTAGAACCAGCACAATGCCTGGACGGGAAATCTTATAACTTGAGGATACCCTGCTATTTTTTCTAGAAATTAGACATGTATGATAAATATATTTGGAATTGATTTTAAATAAGAATGAGTAGATTTATTAATTAGGCATTAACAGATCCTTATGGGTACCCTTTACATTCAGTGAGCCTTTTCATACTGGACAGGGCTGAGCCGGTGTGTAGCTTACTTCTTAACTTGTGTTAGAAACCAACTGGTCCATGGTGCTCACCTTCCCGACACAATCACTGAAGACAAAGTTGGTGCATAAGCAAATGTGGTGAAGAAAGCTGATGGTGCCCAGCTATCAAAAGATACAGTGTCTGGGATCTTAAAGGCTTGAAGATAAACAAGTGGCCATCAAGCTCAGAAGCAACAAAGCCCACATGGAAGAAGCACACCAGCCTGTGTGACCACAAGGTGTCGAAGGAATCAGGTATCAGGCATCAAAGAACAAAAATTCATATCATTGTAAATGAGGGCAAGTGCAGGGTGGACACCCAAAGCTCATCTGTAGGCAATTGGACATCCCCTTATAGAATGGTCGTGGGGAGGAGACAAGCCAGGCAGGGTGCAGTATAGCACTGATGAAACATACAACTTTCCTCTAGTTCTTTAATGCTTCCTCCCCACCATTATTATGACCCCAATTCTGCCTTACAAATCAGGCTCGACCAGAGCATGTACACGGGTACAGATAAGAGCTGTAAACTCAGAATCCAGGACAGATAAACCCCTCAGGACCAATACTGAGAGTAACCATACCAGGAGGGTAAGGAGAAGGTGTGGGGAGAAAAGGGGAACTGATCACAATGATCTTATCTATAACCTCTTCCCAAGCGGATGGACAACAGAAAAGTGGGTGAAGGGAGACATCGGACAGTGTAAGGTAGGATAAAATAATAATGATTTATAAATTATCAAGGGTTCATGAAGGAGGGAGAGGAAAAATGAGAAGCCGATACGAAGGGCTCAAGTAGAAAGAAAATGTTTTGAGAATGATGATGGCAACAAATGTACAAATGTGCTTGACACGATGGATTGTGAGAGTTGTGTGAGCCCCCCATAAAATAATTTTAAATAATAAATAAAAGGAAAGTTTCACTGATGATAAAGAGAAAAAAGAAACCAGCCGGTGTCTCCACCTAGGACTAGATTAGATTGGGTGGAAGATTATGGATCTCACAAAATAGTGTGTGAATGGTGGACGTGAGCAAGGTCTTTGGAAGGAATATCAAAGCTATATTGTTGCTGTTGGTGCTTTCATCCCCTGGCACCCAGGTTGGTGGCTCCAGGATCCACTCTCTCCCCGCAGATACCAAAATCGATGGGTGTTCAAATCCCTTACATGATGGAGCTTTAGGAAATCACGTGGAAAAATTCCGTTATCTTTTCACTTCATTTTTCCACCAATTTTTGAAGTCCAAGAGACCCTTGGCTGACTTTTTTTATTAATAAGGAAGGGATTGATTAATTAGACTAGGGACCCTATGAAGTGAGTGTTCACGTAAGGTAGCTCAGGGTGTTCTATGTAAATTATGCCTTAAAAATTATGAAAAGAAGAAGGGTGTATTTAGAAGTGATTTTTGATCAAACGCAATCCCTGTTCTCAAGAGTTCATCTCGCGATAGTGTTGTTGTTCGGTGCCAGCCCGTTGGATCCCACTCACAGAACCCTGTGTGCAACAGCAAAGCAAATCAAAACACACTGGAGCAATAATCATATTACATAGAGTATCTTTACGATAGGATATTTTATGGCTTGTTCGATGCACTTCATGCCCCTCCCCCCAATTGAGATAGTTACTGGGCTTGATCTGCATCCCCAAACAAACTAATTTCCATCATAAAAGGCCTGTTGGGACTTCACCTCAATGGATTTTTGTGAATTTTTAGCTTATGCCATTGATTTCTAGGCACCTTGTGAGCTGTAGTGCTAGAATATCAACTAATACGGGTGAAAGTATTTTGTAAACGGAAAAGTGTTGATATGTAAAAGTAGCCGCTGTTTTGACGTCTTAATACGTCAATTTGAGGATTTGGCATTTGGAATGCTGGCTCGCTGAGTGGTTATTTAGACAAATTGTATTGATCCCTGAACTAGAACTCTGAATTTTGCTTTTAAAATCCTATTTTTGAGAATAGGATTTTATTTTGAGAATCTCAAAAGGAGTTCTAAGGATATTTCCATTAGTTTGAGAAGCCATTCTTAAGTTTGAAGAAGAACAATTAACAACAACAAAAAACAAGTTTATAGACTTTTCTTGATTGTATTAGGAGATCAGACTTTAAAAGACATTGGGATCACTTTAACATGAAATTGAACAATGGAGTTACTATTTACGTGGAGGTATTTTTCTTCATATATGTGCACACTCTAGCTGATTCCTGCCACACCGTGGGGTGAGTGTGTGTGTGTGTGTGTGTGTGTGTGTGTGTGTGTGGGGGGCAGAGACTGGGGCAGTGAGAGCTTCATTGCTTACATAGTTTTTCATCAGATTTTTTTTTTGCAGAGCATGGTTAAAAGTTAACATATAACCTCCTCCCTGAGGGACGGACAACAGAAAAGTGGGTGAAGGGAGACATCGGACAGGGCAAGATATGACAAAATAATAATTTATAAATTATCAAGGGTTCGTGAGGGAGGGGGAGCCGGGAGGGAGGGGAAAAAATGAGCTGATGCCGGGGGCTTAAGTGGAGAGCAAATGTTTTGAGAATGATGAGGGCAACGAATGTACAAATGTGCTTTACACAATTGATGTATGTATGGATTGTGATAAGAGTTGTATGAGCCCCTAATAAAATGATTTAAAATAAATAAATAAATCTATTTATAAAAAATGAAATAAATAAAAACTAGAACAAATTTTTTTAAAAGTTAATATTTTTGATCTTTAGGTTGATATTTTGGAGATGATTTATTTTTTATTTAATGGAAAACTAATGAGTGAACTTTCATTCATAAATTGCTAAAATTTTACCACATTTTGTTACCTGTTGAGTTAAACAGTTCCATTTTGGATATTACATGATCATTTCCTTCATTTGGGCCAGCCTGTAATTCCTTACTTTATCATAGCAGTGCAATAACTGGGCAGTTTTCTCAGATAATAGCTTCTGAACTTTGCTGATATCAGAAACATTTAGCTATCTTTAAAACTACTGATTTTTATAAAACTTAAAAAATTAAAAAAAACAAACAAGAGCAACCTGATTTCTGATGATCATTTCTAGATTTTTTTTCTTTAATTGTTATGGGATAGTACGTAGACATTGGGATTTTTAAAGTGTCCTAGATTTTCCTAATATGCAAAATTTTGAAGGCATTGTACTAATAACTAATAATAATAGGATTAAGGCCCTATGATAATTAATTTGGGTGAAGTGGGTTAAAGGATCCTACTAACTAAAAGGTTAGTGGTTTGAACCCCCAGCCGCTTCACAGGAGAGAGATGTGGCAGTCTGCTTCTGTAAAGACTTACAATCTTTGAAAACCCATGGGGCAGTTCTCTTTTCTCTGGTAGGGCCACCATGAGTCGGAATTGATGTGGTGGCCGTGGGTTTAAGGTAGGACATAAGAACTTTTTAGAAATGAAGTGTTCAGCTCCTGGGATTCTATCATCTGAGAAAACAGTTTTGTAAAACAAAAGAAAACAGGTATGCAGAATTAACTTTATCAACGAATAAAAATTCGGGCGTATGATTCTGTTGAAGAATGCTAATTGACTATTTCAATTCCAGTCTTTCTTAATTAATTGAATGGGTGTGAAGTAAAATAAATTGCAAAAACACGAAGGTCAGACTGAGAAGTTTATGAGAAAAAAATTTCCCTCTACATTAATTAGTGGTAGCTAAAAGAAAAATGTTAAAAACTTATTAATAAAATGTGGAAAAATTGCTTCCCAATATTTTAACAGAGAGAGACTGAGAACACACAGCATTGAATCGTCAGGAAAGCTGAAGATCTCCCCTGAACAGCACTGCGATTTCACTGCAGAGGACTTGAAAGACCTGGGAGAAATTGGACGAGGAGCGTATGGTTCTGTCAACAAAATGGTCCACAAACCAAGTGGGCAAATAATGGCAGTTAAAGTAGGTGATGCCCCTGATACCTTTCGGTTCTTTATTCCATGAGATAAAATTTGCTGGCGTAGTAATAACCACCGCTGTTCTTACTTTTCGCGGTAAATGTGCGTGCTTTAAAAAATGGTTTCGTGGAGTTGTATTTTAAAGGACGTTCCTGTGGAGGGGTTGTCTTACCAGTGGTATGTTTTCTGTCTCCCTGGAGTCCCCCGTGTGTATGAAGTGTGCATGGACACTGCACTTTTGGCATGTTGCATTAACGTGTTTTAAACTTCAGGCCCTCTCACTGCTCAGGTGAGTTCAGGACAGGCCTCTGTCTGCCCCCTGGGAGCAGGGCAGTCCTGCACTGAGCCAGGCGGGGCGCTGGAAGAGGAGGCAGCACACTGGGTTGGGCAAGGTGCGGGGCTAGGGCTAACAGCAGTCTCACTGAAGGTTTCCTGGAAACCGCACACATGCTGTTGCCACTAACCTCAACCTTACTCGGCCCTGACCGGCTCGGCTTCTGTTTATTTCATTTCATCTCAACTCAGTACTGCCCTGTTCCCTGGTTTGAAAGTCGTATTGAAATGCCTATCTTGTGATTTTCCTTGTCCCATTCTGTCCTTCTTGTGAGAGTTGCCCTACTTAATATGTTCATTTAAAAACAAGAAGAAGAGTGGGTGGAAATGGAGTTTGGTCCATTTAGACGGTACCTGTCCAAGCGCGGCTTCCCTTGGTGCCTGTAAGTGAACTTGGGGTTTCCAGCGGACTCCTGGTGGGTTCCTGTGATTTCATTTGTGTTCAGATGTCTAATACGTGATCTGCTTAAGATATTTTTGGAAAATTGAGGAGGGAGAAGAGGCTGTTAAGAAGAAAAAGTGAAAAGGGAAAAAAAAGATAAAAAGCAAGCAGGCAAGCTGACTCTGGCCCCATCTTCTGTGAACTGAAGGTTTTTGTTGTAATATAAATGTCCCAATTCCTGAGAATGGGTTTGCACAGACAGTCTTACTTACTCATCTTTCTGTTAAATTCCTAGTTTGAATATTTGTTCAAGTGCTCAGGCGAGAGGAGGGACCTCGTGTTTCCACTTGGCCTTTGGCAGTTGATTTTTATCATATTAATATGAAATTATCTTTCTGTAGAAATCAATGATGAACAAGATCTTATTCTAATTCTCTCTAATTCTGACCATTTCTCTTTGCTGGGCCATGCACATTTAATGGTAAATTAGGGACATGGTTCCTTGATAGGACTGTCTGCCCTGGCTTTGGGGTCTCTCTCTTTCCCACTGTGATGAGAACTATGGGCTGTTTCCTGAAGAACATGCATGCATACAATTTAGCCCATAGACAATGGGATGCCCAAAGGTACACTGGCTCGGAACCTCTGCTCTGGATTATCTATGGAAATAAAATATTGATTTCCTTGGAGTGTGCATTGATTTCTCTATTCTTGTTTGTACCAGTATAATGTAAGTGGGAGGAAAGACATCTTATGTAAACCCTGAGTGGTGCCTTGTCCTCACTTGTGTAGACCCTCCCATTCTGCTTGTCTTGTTCTTAAGGGAAAGCTTTCATCTGTAGCCAAGTTCTAAACTCTTATTCCAGGTGCTAGTGAAAGTATTGTTTTTAAAAACCTGCCTTTTCAGTTTGTGCTGTGCGTGCTGGATGATGTTGATGAGCACCCTTGTCTGTTCCGAACGTGGATGGGCTTTAGCCACCCCAGGAACTGGAGGTGAAGAATGAAGGGTGTGTTTCAGTTTGATATTATGAACATTTTTTCTCATCATCAGTTTCATACTGTACAATTGGGACCCGAATAATGCTTGCTAAGTTTTGAAGGAATTTCAGAGTGAAATTAGGGAGTTATTCTCATATTTTGTAATCTGACCTTATAAATGATGACTGGGGGGACTCGTTGAAATACGATTACACATCCCAATTTTAAAGAAGTGCTTCCAGTGGCCGTCGTACCTGGTTTCTTTTACTTTCTCTCTCCGTTGGTGAATTTTGTTTTGCTAGTTCACCAAATCCCTTTTCTTAATACCTGTGTCTTAATCACTTCAGTTTCCCATACTTCCTGACCTGCCCTTTAATCACCAGTCCTTCATCTCTCCAGAATATCATTGCATTGTGTGTTGGAGGTTGGCTTGGCAGGATTTGGAGTGGGGCCACATGGTGTTACCCAGCCCCTCACAGAGGGGTCACAGGGAAGAGACAAACCAGTCAGGGTGCAGTATGGCACCGATGAAACACACAACTTTCCTCTAGTTCTTTGGTGCTTCCTTCCCCCCACTATCATGATCTCCGTTCTGCCTCACAAATCGGACTAGACCAGAACATGCACCCCGCTACAGATAAGAGCCTGCAACACAGGGAATCCAGCATAGATAACCCCCTCAGGGCCAACAATGAGAGTAGAGATGCCAGGAGGATCAGGGGAGGGTAGGGGGAGAAGGGGAATTGATTGCAAGGATCAATCTAGAACCCCCTCTCAGGGGGACGACAACAGAAAAATGTCACGGTGAAGTGAGACAGAGGACAATATAAAATATGAAAATAATAATCTATAACTTATCAAAGGTTTGGGAGGGAAGGAAGGGGAAGAAGTGGGGAGCTGATGTCAGGCTCAAGTGGGAAGGGAATGCTTTGAAAATAATGGCAGCATATGTGCAAATGTGTTTTACACAATGGATGAATGTATGGATTATGATGAGATGTAAGAGCCCCCAATAAAAGTATTGGGAAAAAAAAGAATGGTGTCACTATGAAGCAAGAGCTGACCTGTAGGTCCTAATGTAAGGATGGGGGCACCTGGACCTAGACCAATTTAGATAGTTGCTCAAGATTAGTATATGCATATTTACACTTTAAATTGTTACGTATCAACCATTTCTGAGGCTAAGCATAAACTGTCAACAGTTAAGTTAACGTTGTGCTGCAACATTGCACAGGAAGAAGGAAAGCGGTCTTTCAACAACGTCTTGGGAACGTGGGCCACTTCTGTTTGATTGGGAGCTGTTCCCAAAGTAGACAGTCCTGTGTTCTGTGTATGAAGTAGAAGAGGGAAAGAGGATAGTTTCTAGCTAATATTGTTTAACTCGTCCTGTGATACCAACTAGCTTTCTATCACAACAGCTTAATCCACACCAAGCATGAATTTGTAGCTGCTTATGGCAATGGTGTGTTTGTATTGGCTGCTGTACAAATATGAAGCTCTGGAAAATTTAGAAACATTGAGAACCATCGATAGCAGTAGGAGTCCTAAAACTAGAACACTGGGAATTTAATTGATCGTTCCTTGCCTCTCCAAACAACTGATTGGAGTCATTTTGGTGGTGCCAACCTGTAGTTAGCACGCTTTGCTCTTTTTGCTGTGGTTTTATTTTATTTGTTGCTCTTGTTCTTGACATTTGTCTCCTTTTAAAATGTTACAAGAGTCTAAACAGCCCTGGCTATAGATCTGGACAATAGTTCTTTAAGCTATTAAAGTAAAAAACTGTGTATAAATCTGCAGTGCTTAAATTATCTGTTGCTGAACGCTTTCTGGTTCAAGTCCACCGGTGGCGCTGCAGGAGAACAGACCTGGTGGTCTGTTCCCATTGAGATTATACCCTAGACACCCCTTTGGGGCAGTTCCCCCTTGTGCATGCTCTCTGTTAGTTGAAATCCACCTCATGGCTCCCAGCAGTGACATCAGCGAGCTTTTCGCTGTGGAGAACTACATATGCACAAGCACGGGAGGCAGTATTTTTTGTTTTGATTTCCAGTTAGTTCTCTACATTATGTCCCAAATAATACAAAAACGGTAGTGACATGAGAATACTTTATTCCTAGCGAAGAGATGGGGATTGGTTTTTTAAAAACTACAGTCAATTTGTGCTGAGGACATACAGTTATTTCAGATAGGTGAATAAAAGAGTAACAACAAAAGAGCTCAACATCCTCATAAATGAGAAACAAGAATGATTGTGAGATTGGGTAGATATGAAAAATGTTCAACTTATGTACTCGAGTATAAGTTGAGTTTTTCGGCACATTTTTTATGCAGTTTTTGTGGTAAAATGAGGTGCCTCGGCTGATATTCGGGTTGGCTTATTGTCGAGTATATCGGTAAGTTTTTTGAAATGAGTTTCAGAAGCATTTTATGGTCCTTTTTTTGGGTGGGGGGTGTTTTTCTTCTTTTTAATCATTTTTTAAAATTGGGGGCTCTTACAGCTCTTATAACATCGATTGTGTCAAGCACATTTGTACATATGTCGCCATCATTCTTTTCAAAGCTTTTTCTTTCTACTTGAACCCTTGGTATCAGCTCCTCATTTTCCCCCTCCCTCCCCTGCCCTCCCAACCTCATGAGGCCCTTAATAAATTATTATTGTCACGTCTTACACTGCTGCCTCCCTTCTGAATGTGGGTTTTTCATGTACACTGGGTGGTGGGGAGGGACAGAGGGGGAGGAAGAAGATGTCTGCTGGCTCCCAGTAGACATCAGCTTTATGCGATTTGGACAAAGCTTTTAAATTGATCATAGAAATAAATGAGATTTCTTATTTGAGGCATGTATTAATTAAATGCCCTCAACTAAATTCCAGCTTTAGAAGGGGTGTGTGTGTTGTTTACTCTGAAGCATTCCATTGTAAGCGACTGTTGTTGGAGACTGAATGGGTTTTGACTCGTGGCTGCCCTCCGTGCGCCTGGTAGGGCTGTCAAAGGGCTGGGGCATCTCAGAGGGAGCCAACCGGGTCTGTCTTCTATGGCTCTTAGTGTTTGGGAAATACCTCTGTAAATCGTAGACATTATTACTGATATTAGTTTGGTACTCAGAAAAGCTTTCTGGTTGGTGACTTTTGTTATTAAGTATTCTCCAGTTTGAATCATTGATTATCACTAAGTGTTTTCAATTTGAATGATTAATTGCATGATTGAATTATATTCATTGATGGTTTTGTGCAATTTATTGTTGCTGTTGACGGACAGTATTTT